AAACACGAGCGACGGGGCAGAAGTGCTCGTTCCCGAGGTTGGCTTTTATAAAGCAGGCGAACGGCTGAATCTCGCGTCATTCTAGTCGGATGGAAAAGCAGCATAATCCAACGCCAATCTCCGGTCCACCGAGCCAGTACTCCTGCTTGACAAGTCGAGCAAAGGCGTGAAGAAGAGGCCGATAATGCGCGCTCGCGGCGGGTTGAGACTGTAGGGAGACGCAGGACGAGAACGTACTTCCGACGGATGGGGGACAGACGAGCGTGCTGGCCAACCAATCAGATTGCAAGTTGAGAGAGCGTTGCCTCCGTTGCCACCCTGAAAACGTGGAGACTCGAGATAATGCATGAGTGCCAAGGGATGAATGATTAATGATTATAGTCAATCAGACAAAGTAGCCATCTGTTGCCTTTTAACAGCCCAGTGTGTGTATATGTGTGTGTGTTGCTTATTAACGGGAGGGTCATCCATAATGTTATTAAATCTCTAAAATAACAATAGTCTATCGCAGTTAGTCTAATTATGTATAAAATAAAAATGAATCAGAAATTAATAGCAGGCTAACAATAAAATACAGAAAATGTTGAAGGTGAAGATCTGTTTGATGAGCCATTTAGAATGTAGTGTGACGTTTTAAACCACACACGCATGCACACACACAAACACACACCTTGTGTTGTGTGGACCAAGTGTTTAGAGGTGGGAAAATAGAATACACAGTGTGTCACACACTCTGTTAAAAGACTCATGTCTATGTGTTATGGTTATTTGTGAATAGGATGCATAAAATAAGACAAACTCCACCAGTTTGCTGTTTAACATGAAATCCAGTTGCAATGTGGTAGGTAGAAATAACTAAAGCGATTAACACTACAATATTCTATCTATTATCGCAACTGAATTTCATGTTATACAACATTCTGTACTGGAATTATATATATATATATATATATATATATATATATATATATATATATATATATATATATATATATATATATATACACTCTAAAAAAAAATTCCGTAAAAATACGGTAAAATGTACTGGCAGCTCATTACACAAATATTTTACCGTAAATTAAAAACGGAAAACTTCTGTTAATTGACAGTGTGTCCACATTAAAAAAACTAAAATTATCCGTTTTTTGACGGTTAAACTACTGTAAAATAACGAACCATTTTATAGTAATTTAAGGGTTTTCTATATTAAAACACGGTTATTTTCTGTGTTTTTAAGGGTATACCAACAGTAAAAAAGCAGAAATATTCTGTGTTTTAATAGTATACCTACAGTAAAAAAACAGACAGATTCTGTATTTTAATAGTATACCTACTGTAAAAAAACAGACAGACTCTGTGTTTTAATAGTATACCTACAGTAAAAAAACAGACAGATTCTGTATTTTAATAGTATACCTACTGTAAAAAAAACAGACAGACTCTGTGTTTTAATAGTATACCTACTGTAAAAAAAAACAGACAGATTCTGTATTTTAATAGTATACCTACTGTAAAAAAACAGACAGACTCTGTGTTTTAATAGTATACCTACTGTAAAAAAACAGACAGATTCTGTGTTTTAATGGTATACCTACTGTAAAAAGAGGACTTTTTTGTGTTTTAATAGTATATCTACAGTGAAAAAATGAACAGATTGGGGTAATGGGATACCTACTGTAAAAAAAATTATTTTACTAATTTAATGCTCTTCAAGCAACATAGAAATGCCAATTGGTAAGGATAAACATATACATATGGGAAATACACTATTAATGGTTTACCATAGTAAAACAAAACATTTATTCTATACTGTAGGTGTAGAGAAGCAGTAAATTGTTTGCTAACTGTGAACTTACAATGATTAGTACAAAAACAACTTTGCAACTAAAACAGATTCTTTAATGATTACAAATCATTTGAATTCCAAATAGCTAGTTATACACACAATAATACATATTGACATGTGAATCACACAGTGAGAAGTCTTGGCAAATAATCTCATAGCAAATTAGTTTTAAATGTTAGCTTTAAGATAATTGAGGACAAGTGGGCAAATTACAAGTACTTTACATTAAGAAACCAGGTTAACTGCAAGATGGCAGGAAACAGACGATACAACTGGGTCTTCTTCCGCTCTAATACTGATACTTCAATGGCTGTAAAACACAAAAAAAAACATTACTAATGACATTTCACTTACAACTGGGGTGATTCCTTGCATGTCAATAGTTTACACAAAAATGAATGTTTTATCATCATGTTCTTAACCCATTCTTGTCATTTCAAGCCTGTCTGACTGACATACTTCCACAGAACAAAGTAGGAGATATTTTGAAAAATTATGGTAACCGAACAGTGGCAGCATCCATCCATCCATTCACTGTACTGACACAACCAAAGCAAGTGAATGGGTGGCATCCCTGTTTGGTTACCAACATTCTTTAAAATATGATATTTTGTGCTTTGCAGAGGAAACAAAGTCATAAAGGTTTAAAATGTCAAGAGAGTGAGTAAATTATGAATGATCAATTATTCAGTTTTGGGCGAGGAATCACTTTAAGATTTTTCAAAATAAAGTGTAGGTACTTTTGACAATATTAAGAACAATATTGCAAGAGAGAAACAAATATAAACAAACTTTGCTGGTAACACTATAATAACTACAGGCTATATATGATTAATTTATGAAGCATTAGCAAATAGTGAATTCATTATCTGTTAAGCATTGACTCTACATTAATAGATGTTAGCAGTCGGTTATAAATACAGCTACAAATGCTGTATTCTTGACTTAAACACATTTATAATGTGCTTAATAATTGTGTTTTCAAACTTTAAATGATTGATTTTACATTACTATTTTTATATTTAAAAAAAAAAAAAAAAAAAAATATATATATATATATATATATATATATATATATATATATATATATATATATATATATATATATATATACATACACATACATATACATATATACAGTTTGTTGGCCTAATATAAAGTGAGGATTATTTATGATTTATAAATCCTTATAAACGACAGTTAAAGGCTCAGTATCAAGTGAACAATAAATCATTACAGTCTTATCTAAAAAAATGTAATTACTGTAAATATGAAACCTTGCTGAATAGCAGGAGTGCCAAATTATAACATAAAACTGGATAAAACAACAATAAAATAATTTAATGATATATTACGATGCAACATTTCAGTGTTTTTTAGCTATGTTCAAACTGTACATTAATTTTATTTTAGATAAGATTTATTTTTCACTTAATACAATAAAATGCATTTCATTTTTAGAATATAACTGAACCTTTAATTGTGATTTATAAGGGGATTTACAAAGCATAAACAATCCACAGCCACAGCCATATCATCCTGCAGCCTAAGACGGGTTACTCACTGAAGCTAAGCAGGCCTGAGCCTGGTCAGTACCTGGATGGGAGACTACTAGGGAACACTTGGTTGCTGTTGGAAGTGGTGTTAGTGAGGCCAGCAGGGGGTGCTCAACCTGTGGTCTGTGTGAGTCCTAACGCCCCAGTAAAACTGAAGGGGACACTAAACTGTCAGTGGGCGCCGTCTTTCGGATGAGACGTAAACCGAGGTCCTGACTCTCTGTGGTCATTAAAAATCCCATGGCACTTCTCGTAAAAGAGCAGGGGTGTAACTGGCCAAAGTCCCTCTATCGGCCCTTAAAATCATGGCCTCCCAATCATCACCTTCCACCGAATTGGCTCTATTACTGTCTCTCCACTCAATCAATAGCTGGCGTGTGGTGAGCGCACTGGAGCCGTTCTCCTGTGGCAGCCATCGCATCATCCAAGTGGATGCTGCACACTGGTGGTGGTGTGGAGAGACCCCCCCCCCCCCCCCCCCCCCTCATGATTGTGAAGTGCTTTGGGTGTACGGCCATACACATTAATGCGCTATATAAATTCACATTACATTACATTACATCCTCACTTTAGGCTACAAAACTGGATGAAGTTAACAAAAGCACTTATTAAAATAAGTATTGTATGTACTTTATATACTTATTTTTTATACTTTATATATAAATATAACTATTACTATTCATTCATGTATTGTCCTTCAGCTTAGTGAAACAAGCACGCTTCCATTTTTAAGGTAACTGTGCATAGCATGAGTACGCCCTTGGAAACACCCATACACACTTATTTACAAACACACTCATACACTACAGCCAATTTAGTTAATCACTTCCCCTATAGCGCATGTCTTTGGACTGTGGTGGAAACCGGAGCACCCGGAGGAAACCCACGGCAACACAGGGAGAACATGCAAACTCCATACAGAAATGCCAACTGGGACTCGAACCTGCGACCTTCTTGCTGTGAGGCAACAGTGCTAGCCACTGAGCCACTGTGCTGTCCAACTATTACTATATGCTTGAATAATAAGATATATAAATGTTAGTTTGAATAGTTTATTAACCATTTACTTACACATTCTGAATGATTTGAAAAAAAAATAAAAATAATTAAAGTTGATTTTTAGCCAGTTTTGCACCCTGAAATAATGTTATTACAATGACGCTACATAGATTAAACGGTCACAAAATCAGCATGAAGGCCTGGCTCACCATCAAGATGCCCACATTGAAAATGTCTTTCTCATCATCAGGTGGCTAAGAGAGAAAAGAAAAGAGATTCAGCAGTGGAACAGTTATTTCCTTATCACTTTAAACAGACATTACCAAAATAAAGAAATTGTAACATTTCAAATGTTGCAAAAATAAATAATAATAATAAATAACTGCTTTGTTCATTTAACAGATTACAGTAGCAGCTTAAAGACCCCCCAAATAAAACGCCCACATCAACCTAGTACTTTTAGTTTGAATACATGTTAATAAAATTCAAAATTACTGAAGCAAAATGTGTTCATGTAAACACAAGTAATTGGTTTTGCCAAATAATAAAAATAAAAGCATCAATATCAAACAAAAACCCTGAACATTTTACCTCTTAAACTTGGAAGTTTACTGTCATCTCCTGTATGAAGTACAGAGGGTCCAGCACAACTGCCTGAGTTCTGAAAGAGCAAACACATTCTTGGTAAAATGACAATAGATGCAATGCTAAATATAAATCATTTTTTATTTTTATTTTTGTATTATTTATAAAAATGCAGTACTGACCGTTCAGCATCAATTTTTACACCAACACACCTACAACAAAAATAACACTCATTCAGTTTGAAACATGCAACATGTAGTCTACTTTTAAACTTTACAAACTTTGTGAATAATAAAAAAATGAAAACATTTAAAACCCCAGGTGTATTTTATTTAATTTGTCTAGATAAATTCAAATTTAGTTTGGATTGAACGCAAGATTTAAGATTATTATTTAGATTGCTGTGAAAATATACCCGTACCTTGTACTTATAACCAAAATGACAGAACCTGGAAGTCAACAAAGCAAAATATCAGTGAACCTTATATGTACAAAACACTCAAAATCAAACTGAAAAACCCTGAACATTTTACCTCTTAAACTTCAAAGTTTACCGTCATCTCCTGTATAAAGTACGGAGGGTCCAGCACAACTGCCTGAGTTCTGAAAGAGCAAACACATTCTTGGTAAAATGACAATAGATGCAATGCTAAATATAAATCATTGTTTATTTTTTTGGTTAAAAATGCAGTACTGACTGTTCAGCATCAATTTTACACCAACACACCTACAACAAAAATAACACTCATTCAGTTTGAAGCATACAGCATGTAGTCTACTTTTAAACTTTACAAACTTTGTAAATAATAAAAAAAAATGAAAACATTTAAAATCCCAGGTGTATTTTATTTAATCTGTCCATATTAATTCAAATTCCGTTTGGATTGAATGTAAGATTTAATATTTTAATTTAGAATGCTGTGAAAATGTACCTGTACCTTGTACTTATAACCAAAATGACAGCATAAACATAAAGCAAATCTTATATCATATATCAGTGAACCTTATATCTACAAAACACTCAAAATCAAACAGAAAAACACTGAACATCTTACCTCTTAAAATTGAAAGTTTACTGTCATCTCCTGTATAAAGTACAGAAGGTCCAGCACAACTGCCTGAGTTCTGAAAGAGCAAACACATTTCTATTCAAATTCAGTTTGGATTGAATCTAAAAATGTACCTGTATCATGTACTTAAAACCAAAATGAAAGAACCTGGAAGTCAACAAAGCAAAATATCAGTGAACCTTATATGTGCAAAACACTCAGACTCAAAATCTACTTAAAAAGATTTCATTTGTGATAACACCATGTGTAGTTCACTCTATTATCAAGGTTTCATTAAAATAAAACTCATGATCTCCTAATAGTAAAGAAAGTATATCTTTATATCTTCATATTAGCAGCCCTTGAGGTTCTTAAAAGTGAACTTGGCTGAATCTGCAAGTTGACAAGACGTTCATAAGTATAATATCCATGACAGTATAACTCGACTACAACAAACATTTAATTGTGTGCTTTAAGGTACACGTTGTATTTGAGGCCGAAAACGCATGACAGTGTAAACACTATATACTTTTAAATGTCACACACTTTTTTTTTCGTTCCATTTGGCGAGCATTATTAAATTCCTTAACACTCTTATCAGTTCTTGCTTCTTTTGTGCGTCTAATACCCCAGTTTGTCACGCGGGATGAATGAAATGTTCATGAGTTAAAGTGAAACTGCCGAACTGCAGTTAAAGTCAGGCATCCTGCTGATTTGATTCAGAAGGGCACTTGTCAGACGGCTCACCGGTCAGGTATACATCCGCGCTTAGATATCAAAGTATGAAAGTCACCCAGCTCCCAACACAACGTTGAGCAGATTAACGGCGATATATATATATATATATATATATATATATATATATATATATATATATATATATATATATATATATATATATTTTTTTTTTTAATCGCGCGATTAAAGTCTCGCGTTAACGCAGCACGTTAATGCTGATAACGGCCCACCACTAATAATAATACCTTTACGAGTGTGTATTTCCCCTCATACCGAGTTACAGAATGCCTCCTTCACGCGAGTCTATAACGTTACTTAAAAACCAGCAAAGCTGTTCCACTTAAACTTGGTCACACAGCCTTACGTCGGTCAAACTAAGCTAACGTAGCATTTGATAACGTCAGTAAAAATATGAATTTAGTTATTAATATGCAAACAAACACAGACGGTCAGGTGTTACGAGTGTTTGAAACACGTTAACGTTAGGTTAGTGTTCATTAAAGGTAACTTTACGATAACCAGTCATCGAAATACACCTTTAACACTATATATCAACCAAACTACACAGTGTCACAAACTTTGAACGCTATCCCTTGTTCAATCCACTGTACAAAGAAAACATTTATTTTTCTATTAAGTAATTAACATACCTTTTACACTCTCACAGACAAGCTGACGTTTAACGTTACCGTTAATCCAGTCAGGCTCGCGCAGGTGCAGAGGGAGGGAGTGGGTGATTGGGACGTCACGTCACTTCCCGCGCACGGCAGTTTAGAAAAATACGGACAAACAACTGTAAATTAACAGATATCATATTTACTGATGAGGAAAACGCAGAAAAAGGTAAAAAATCATTAGGTAAATGCTTGTTTAAATTACATTTAACCACTTATAGCTCAGTTTGAACCTAATGAAATAAAGTCTGATCTTATTAACAATATTAAACGTAATTCACTGCTGTACTTTCCATGGCCGCTTCAGACAAGACAAAATTCATTTGAAATAACGATAAAAAGGTAATAAAGCAGTCTTTTAACTAAAATATTGTTATATGTTTTATTAACCGTACTTACCGGGGGAAAACAGAGGAAGAAATATGTCCCGGTGTCCATCAAACGCTGCCTGAGCTGCGATCCCCTTCCCATAATGCAATTCGAAAATGTATAAAAACGGAAAAACACCCGTAATACGTGTATACGGAAAAAATCTGTTAAAATATACAGTTTTATATACTGTTATTTTACAGATTTTTTTTACAGTGTATATATATATATATATATTTATACAACAGTTCTGTCTGGTTCTCAAATCTGATTGGCTGATAGTCGTGCGATATTCTGCAATATCAGAACTCCTACAGCCTCTTTACCCTTTGTGTATTACTCCACCCACATACAGCCAGCAAAAAGCAGACACTACAGATCTAAAGTTTAAAAGATGCACGCTCAACTGTTTAACTGTCAGTTTATGAATTGAATTCGAAAGAAAGTAGTTCCTCATACAAAAGGGTTTTTGAGACTCTCCATGTTTGATTTTGTTTTTATATACACAATTATGCCGTCAAACTGTTGTATAAACGCAATATCACACTCGTAGCAGTGCGATATGGCTGTATATCGCACTTGTGGGGGCACTAAGGCAACGCACGCCTCCCACCAGTGCCGATATACAGCCATATCGCACTGCTACTCGTGTGATATTGCTCATATATATATATATATATATATATATATATATATTGTACATGTTTTAAACAACGTTAAATAAATTAGCTGGAAAATGTTTTTTGTTTTTTTTATACAATCCAAGCACACAGCTGAATGTGTTATGCTTTTGGTCATGAGTTTAAGTTTGTTCAGAACAATCTTTCATGTGTCTATTTATGTCCAGACAAAGAAACACTGTGCCCAGACATCTGATTTCTACGGGCAGTTGCCGACAATGATTTGCACGGACTATATGAACATAGACACTGACATTTTGGGGGAGGAATGAAGTAAGCTTTAAGACCCTCAAAAAGCCGTAAATGGCTGCTTCTATTCTTGCAACACAGAGCCTACACACTCATAAACCCCACACTATCAGTGTTTGAAAGGGGCATTCATTTTCCTCCTACTGGTGATGTCATCATTTTGGAGTCACACCACACGCTAGACTTGTGTGAGGCCATATAATGTGAACTAGAACATCTTTGACTAATGTCATCGCAAGCTGAGAATCAGCCTCAGGGAAAAGTCCTGATGTTGAAACAACATCACCATTCATCCTTCAGTAGACATCACTCATCTAATTATTGTGTCTCAAACAAAAGGACACACAGCTCGAAATGAGTTGCATTAAATGGAGTGCTTTTTTAAGTGTACACCATCCTTTACCATTTTAGGAACATGTGAAATATGTTTTATCATACAGTATGCATTTATTCATATAAAGATATAATAACTGATGGTGTGATTCCACATAATTGTGCACTTAGTAATTTATCAAAAACCAAAAAGAATAATTAATATACAGTTGAAGTCAGAATGATTAACCCCCCTGAATTATTAGTCCCGTTTATTTTTCCTCCAATTTTTGCTTAACGGAGAGATGTTTTCAACACATTTTTAAACATAATAATAATTTTAATAACTCATTTCTAATAACTGTTTTATTTTATCTTAATAAAAATAATATTTTACTAGGCTTAACTTGGTTAATTAGGTTAACTAGGCAGGTTAGGGTAATTAGGCAAGTTATTGTATAACGATGGTTTGTTCTGTAGACTATCGAATGAAATATAGCTCAAAGGGGCTAATAATTTTGTCCTTAAAATGGAGCTTTAAAAATTATTAACAGCTTTTATTCTAGCCGAAATAAAACAAACAAGACTTTCTTCAGAAGAAAAAATATTATCTGGTACTGTGAAAATTCCCTTGTTCTGTTAAACATCATTTGGGAAATATTTAAAAAAGAAAAAACAAAAACAAAGGGGGGCTAATAATTCTGACTTCAACTGCACACACACACACACACGCATGCACACATGCACACACACACACACACACACACACACACACACACACACACACACACACATATATATATATATATATATATATATATATATATATATATATATATATATATATATATATATATATATATAAGTGAATAGTAAAAAGCTTTAAACATTAGACTAATTGTGCTTTACATGTTGTTGTGTTACAAGATAATATTAGTTAAAATATTTGTATTAAAGCATGCAGAAATAATGGTGTTTATTTTTAAACAATATTTGAAAAATATATTGAATCTAGTCACATTTAACACTATATCAAGATGCATTTTTTGTCTCTAATAGTTTTACATAATGTATTTGATTTATTTTGTAGTCTTGAGATTACGTATGTACTGAATTATGCTCTTATTAACATATTAATCATGCAACAAATGCAAAAAAAGTGTTAACAATTTTGAAAGTACAGTAAAGTATTAAGATGCCAATATTTCCAGCCAATACTCCTGTAAAGACACTGCCATCTACTGGATTTCACGGCTTGCATAATATAATTAAATATTAATCGTTATTAGTTGTTAAAATGACGAAATAAAGCTCAGCAGTCTTATTTTATAAAACATTTTTGCTAAATAGTTTTTTTTTCTATTTTAGAAGACAAAGGCAAGAGATGAATAGAGACGAGTTTATAAAACATGCTTTTAAAATGTATGTGCTTTCAAGCGCCATTTCCCCGGCACTTTTAATATTAAATGAATGGTGGAACAGACAGTGCGAATTAGTAGGCTACTATTTTTTCAATAATTATTTTCTATCATCATACATGACCCACTAGGCTTGGCGTTGAAATGGAAATTCCAACCACGAGATGTCGCTTTTGCTTGACTTATTTTTGAAAAAGTGGATCTCTAATGTATTACATTACCAAGTATACCGTTGTCCACAGCTCTGTGTCTGTGTCCGAAGCCTTTCTTCAGATCAAGTATTTCAGTGTTATTTTTTTAACTCACATCCTACTGTAGATTTAATTACATGTACATAGAAAATGGTATATAAATTAAGTTTTTTTGTCTTTTCTTTTTGCAACTACACACTAACATCAACATGTTTGCATAATTTGCTCAAAACAATCAACTTTTTTTGTTTTATTAGAGTATTAACTCGAGTTTTCTAGAATAAAATTAGTGGAGCATTTGTAGATCATTTACAGTGCAGCTGGAGTCATAGTACAGCACTGAAACATCTGAGGATCACACCCTAACGAATTCCAACGTGTTACAGTGTACAAACCAGCCTTTCCGAATATTCACAAATTATAGGCTTATAGGCTAAAATTGTATTAAGATATAGTGATTAAGAAACAAACGGCGTTCACGCGGTCTGTAGTCGTCTTATCTGCGTTTTATGCCTTTGGGCAAGGTGCATTATTCACATATGGTCTCCATGTTCCTTCTTCATCTTTAAGCCTGTGTATGATGCTTGACCAGAGAGTAGCAGCAGCGTCGGGTCCAACAGGGCCGCTCCAGTACCGCACTTACTCAGCCCTCTCCGCGCACTAACTGACGTGTTTTGCGCATTTCCTGGACCAGCCTTCAGACACATACAGTCGGGAGAAAAAGAGGCAGGTCTGCAGGAAACTGAGTACCGACGGACAAACAAGGATCCTGGGAGAAGCAAGTGAGAACGGAACCCTTGAAAACACTCATTCTCCTGTCAGGAGCGCATCGAAAGACGCTTTTGCGGAGATAACTTTCCTCCCAATGCGCGGAGGAGACACGTCCAGCGTTCCAGCCAGTCGATGGAACGGGCAGCTCACCCAGAGGAGATCCAGCATATATTTCTGGCATGTTTTGAGGTGTGGAATGCTGGTCGAGTCGCTGCTGATACGCTGTAGCTCTGTCTTTTCGCTCCAACTTGGATTGCTGACTGCATGCAGGGTGTTTGGACAGCTTCAAGATCACATGCAGGTTGTCCGTAGGTCATAGCAACAGATCCCCTCTACCTTCTACACACTGCATGAAGATCCACGCGGACGAGGAAGGGCATTTCCCGCTATCTCATAAATAAAAACAATCTTGAAAACACACCGGTGGACCGTGACATACACTGGTTAAATAATTAACCAGGCGCTGAAGTGGAATATTGTTACTAAAGCTCTCGAAAGTGGCCATGGTGGTTTTTAACGGTCTGCTGAAAATTAAAATCTGCGAGGCTTTGGACCTAAAGCCCACAGCTTGGTCTTTGAGACACGCCGTCGGACCCAAGACTCAAACCTTTCTGCTGGACACGTACATCGCCCTCAACGTAGACGACTTTCGCGTGGGTCAGACTTCGACCAAGCAGAAGACCAACAGTCCCGCCTGGCACGATGAGTTAGTGACGGAGGTGCACGATGGACGGAAGATTGAGCTGTCGGTGTTTCATGATGCACCGATTGGCTACGACGACTTTGTGGCCAACTGCACCATTCAGTTCGAGGAACTGCTGCATAACGGCAGCAAACACTTCGAGGACTGGGTAATGTCATTTATTGTTTATTTAGTGCCCCAAAGCTGTTAGAAATAGCTTGCTGTGATTGGAAATAATTTTCCTGGTCATTATTTGCCATAATATCCCACAAACCAGCAGAGCTACAACCACTATAGAATACATAAATCCTTCAAGGGACTTTGTTACAGCTAATCACAATGTCTGCTAAGATCAGAAATTGTTCATGTTCCATAACAGTCAATGGTTTAAACTGAGGTTATTCATTGTTATAACACATTCAGTGCTAGTAAATGTTTCAGTTACCACAAAAGTTAGGTTATAACTTATCAGAGATGGCAACACCTGTGGCCAAAATGCTAGCAAAAGGAATTCGCATTAACCGGAAATGGGTTACCATAACAACCATGAGCTGCTACGACTTTCCAGTGCGAGCATGGGGCGGTACATCAACACATGACAACATGTGGGACATCTAAATAACAAAAGACAAAACCAAACACAAGTTTATATAACATCCACAAGACAACAAACAACAAAACACAAACATAAGTAAAGGGGTGAAAAGCATAGATATTAGCATTATATTATATTACATTGTTCATTTTTTTCATTTGTTTTGCGCAGCAGATGCCTTTCCAGGTGCAACCCATCACTGGGAAACATACACTCATTCACACACACACACACACACACACACACTACAGACAATTTAGCTAACCCAATTCACCTAACTTATAGCGCATGTCTTTGGACTGTGGGGAAACCGGAGCACCCGGAGGAAACCCACACGAACACGGGGAGAGCATGCAAACTCCACACAGAAATGCCAACTGACCCAGCCGAGGCTCAAACCAGTGACCTTCTTGCTGTGAGGCAATTGTGCTACCCACTGCGCCACCATGCAGCCATATATTTTATTACTACATTATTGTTAAATTATTATAAATAAAAAAATAAAAAAAAATAAATAATAAATAAATAAATAAATAAATAAATATATATATATATATATATATATATATATATATATATATATATATATATATATATATATATATATATATATATATATATATACAGTTGAAGTAAGAATTATTAGCCCCCCTGAATTATTAGATTTATTTTTTTTCCCCAATTTCTGTTCATGGAAGAGAAGATTTCTTCAACACATTTCTAAACATAATAGTTTTAATAACTCATGTCTAATAACTGTTTTATTTTATCTTCGCCATGATGACAGTAAGTATTATTTTTATTTTATTTTTAAGACACTTCTAAACAGCTTAAAGTGACATTTAAAGGCTTACCTAGGTTAATTAGGTTAACTAGGCAGGTTAGGGTAATTAGGCAAGTTATTGTATAACGATGGTTTGTTCTGTAGACTTTCGAAAAATTTTTTTAGTTTGATTTAATTTAAATTTAGTTTTTTTTGTCTAGTTTATTCGAATCATTTTGTCCTTAAATGGTGTTTAAAAAATTTATAACTGCTTTAATTCAAGCCGAAAAATAAATAAGACTTTCTCCAGAAGAAAAAATGATCAGACATACTGTGAAAATGTCCTTGGCATGGGCCAGTATAAGATTCTGACGGTATGATAACCTGGATAAAAATATAATGGTTTCATTGTATTGTGCTCACTGCTCTAAATATTCTTTTTAAGTGTCTGGGTAAAAAAAAAAAAAAAACTTTTTTCCCCTTTAAAACAAAATATTTTATTTTTTTTAAAGATTTATAATAGTTTGGTGCAGTAAACAGGTCGGGCTAAAAAGTTCAAATGATTATTTGACTTCTGCTGCTTTCATTTGTTTCAAAAACACAGATTTCTTTATAATTTAAAATAGCATCTTTGGATATTTTTTCTGCTGGAGATACTGTTGTCCTAAAAAAATGTAGTTAAAAAAATCTTTCACATACCTTAAGAATGGTACAACAGAAAATTTTGGCGGTTTTAAAACCTTGACCTTTCCAAACCGCGGTATACCTTGAAAACAGTTATCGTCCCATGCCTAATATAAATAAAGCATTATCGAAAAACGACAAATTAATGTCAAACGTAGTGCCATGCACAGCCTTCACAGAAAAAGAAAACACCTACAATCGGTTTAAGAGGTCAGATTAAAATAGTGTGGTATTTTCTTTTCTTGGGAAAACAGCCTCTGTTCAAAATACAACTCAGCTAAAAGAGAAAGCATCTTTCCTTTTGTCGTCTGCTAGCGGCAGTTGTGTTGCTTTCTTCTTTCTCATGCCACCTGCATCATTTCTGCAGCAAAAGCCTCAGATGAATGCTCAGATAACCCCTGTTGCATAGAGACGGTGAAAGAGGTTGGTTGAATGTCATAAATATTTCTGCAGCTGCAAAAAAACATGCAGCTCTCATTAATACAGACGTAATAATCTGATGGCAAATGGGCAGACGGTTTACATCTTTCAATCTGTTGAGGTTAGGACAGGATTTGTAAATCTGATATTTAGTGACTGACAAATGCACACATGCACTCACACATTGGTATAATAAGATGTTTTGTCAGTTAACTTAACAATAAAACGAGTAAAAATACATGTAATTTAATTAAATCAAGCTTAATTGAAATACAGTGCATCCAGAAAGTATTCATAGCGCCTCACTGTTTTCTACATTTTTTTTTATATTACAGCCTTATTCTGAAATGGATTAAATTAATTTAATTCCTCAAAATTCTACACACAATACCCCATAATTATGATGTAAAAAAGATTTTTTGAAAGTGTTGCAAATTTCTTAAAAATAAAAAAGCAGAAAAATCACATGTGCAGAATTATTTACAGCCTTTGCTCAATACTTTGTTGATGCACCTTTGGCAGCAATTACAGCCTCAAGTCTTTTTGAATATGATGCCACAAGCTTGGCACACCCTGTTTTTGGGAATTTTTGCTCATTCCTCTTTGCAGTACCTCTCACGCTCGATCAGGTTGGATGGGAAGAGACAGTGTACAGCCATTTTCAGATCTCTCCAGAGATGTTCAATAGAATTTTGGTCTGGGCTCTGGCTGGGCCAGTCAATGACATCCACTCTGTTGATATTTTGTCTGCGTGCTTTGGGTCATTGTTCTGCTGGAAGATGAACCGTCGCCCCAGTCTGAGGTCAAGAGCACTCTGAAGCAGGTTTTCATTCAGGATGTCTCTGTACATTGCTGCATTCATCTTTCCCTCTATCCTGACTAGTCTTCCAGTTCCTGCTGCTGAAAAACATCCCCACAGCATGATGCTGCCACCACCATGCTTTACTGAAGGAATGGTATTAGCCTGGTTATGAGTGGTGCCTGGTTTTCTCCAAACAAAACACCTGGCATTCACTCCAAAAAGTAAAATTTTAGTCTCATCAGACCAGAGAATTTTGTTTCTTATGGTCTGAGAGTCCTTCAGATGCCTTTTGGCAAATTCCAGGCAGGGAGTGGCTTCCGTCTGGCCACTCTGTTATACCGGCCTTAAGGGCTCCACAGAAGAACACTGGAGCTCAGACAGATTGACCATCAGGTTGTTGATCACCTCCCTGACTAAGGCCCTTCTCTCCCAATCAGTCAGCTTAGATAGCCGACCAGCTCTAGGAAGAGTCCTGGTGGGACTCAAACATCTTCCACTTATGGATGATGGAGGCTCATTGGAACTCCCAGAGCAGCAGAAATTTTTCTGTAACCTTCCCTAGCCTTGTGCCTCGAGACAATCCTGTCTCGGAGGTCAACAGAAAAATTCCTTTGTCTTCATGCTTGGTTTGTGATTTGACATGCACTGTCAACCCTGGGACCTTATATTGACAGGTGTATGCCTTTTTAAATTATGTCCAATCAACTGAATTGACCACAGGTGAACTCCAATTAAGTTGCTGAAACATCTCAAGAATGATCAGTGGGAACAGAATGTACCTGAGCTCAATTTAGAGCCTCATGGCAAAGGCTGTGAATACTTCTGTACATGTGATTTTTCAGGTTTTTTATTTTTAATAAATTTGCAGAAATAAAAAAAAATCCTTTTTCACATTGTCATTATGGGGTATTGTGTGTAGAATTTTGAGGAAATAAATAAATTTTATCCATTTTGGAATAAGGCTGTAACATAAACATATGGAAAAAGTGAAGCGCTATTAATACTTACTGGATGCACTGTACAGCCATATGATTCATGCAATATAAAATGTTAATTAATTAATTAATTAATTAATTAATTCATTTTCATTCATTCATTTATTCATTCATTCATTTTCTTTTCGGCTTAGTCCCTTTTTAATTATTCCGGGGTCACCATTGCGGAATGAACCGCCAACTTATTCAGCACATGTTTTACGCAGCGTATGCCCTTCCAGCCGCAACCCATGTCTGGGAAACATCCATACACACTCACTCACACTCATAGACTACGGAGAGTTTAGCCTACCCAATTCACCTGTATAGCATGTCTTTGGATTTGTGGGGGAAACCGGAGAACCAGGATGAAACCCACGAGAACGCATGGAGAACATGCAAACTCCACACAGAAACGCTATCTGACCCAGCCGAGGCTCGAACCAGCAACCTTCTTGCTGTGAGGCAACAGCACAACCTACTGCACCACTGCGTAGCCCTATAAAATGTTATAAATAAAATAATGTTATAAGTAACCTCTACTTACATTTTACTCTAAACATGCTCTTACTGTATTAATGGCAAATCCACAGAGCCAATAACAACTTTGAAATGGTTTCTTGAATGTTAATGAAGAGTTTCAGGCTATGGAAGTCAAAGATATATTAATGAATATAAATTTCTGTTATACTTTTGTGAAGCACTCCATAAAGCAACTGTTATATGTGAGATGTCCCGATCAGGTTTGTTTTTCAGTCAATTGATTGAGTCAATTGATTTTAAGTATCTACCAATCCCAAAACCTGATGCGATACTTTTATAATGCATAAAAAAAGAAGAGTGAAGAAAGAGATCCAGGATGTTCCTTTATTTTTATTTAACTCATTTCATTTTAACATTCAACAACTCTGTTAACAAACAGCACTTCTGT